AGCAGCTGCGTGTATGGATTGAAAGCGTAGGATGCCTTGGTTCTCGGGAGCGCCAGGAGGTCGCCAATGTCAGCTTCAACGTAGAGAGCTCCGTATGATGTCGGCCTGCAGGTTATCACGAGCTTCTGCCGCGTCGAGCACAGCGGTACAACAGGTACAGAGAACCACATGAGCTGCAGACGTGTCTTGCAGTAGCGGTAGAACAACGTGAGTATAGACAGGGAGGGTTGTGGGTGCAGTGCATTTGTGAATCTGGTGTTGAGTATGTCCGAGCATTGGGGGACTCCCAGTTCGCCGCACTAGCGCCAAATCACCAAACCAGCACAACAATCGAGGCATTTCAGCTCATAGGTTTGCAAGTCTTCAAAGGCCCAAGCTTACTAAAGCCCACATGGCATCTACAGTCACCTTGTATTGGAAATTGGACAGCTACAGCCATGGCTTGCTATTTCAGCTCCGTTTGGCAAACTCTCACCATCACCACCATCACCATACACACCATACCCACAACACGACAACAATCCCACTATCCAACCCAAATGGCCTTCAGAAAGTGGCTAGACGACAGCAGGAAGAAGTTCCTGTGTAAGGGAGCGGTGCTCAAAGAGCACATCAAGAACAAATGGAACCATTTTTGGGATATTTCCCACAGCGTGAGCCACACGCCTGTTGAACCAAGCTCCAGTGAGGAGGAAGACGAGGAGGAGGAGGATAACGACGACGACTAGGCTGCACAGGCAGCGAGATGAACGACTTTTGGGCTGCAAAGGCAGCGGTACGAAACAGCTTTGAGGACTACGTTGAACCCCAACGTTTTGACGGCGACTCGACAGCAAGGCGAGGAGGTATCCGAGGCGATAGAGCAAGACGGCGGTGGGCTGTGAGGTGGGCGAGGAGACGACTGTGACGTTTGTAGAAGGTGGTGGGAGATGGGAAGATGGGTCGTGGAGGTCACAAAAGGTTCGCACACTCACCCAGGCTTACCGGATGAAGTACCCTGGTCACTACCAGCGTATTCTCGGAGCTCAAAGTACCTCGGGGACATGCACGTCAGCATCTCGGGCTGCAGCAACTTATAAATACGGTCGGACATTTTGGATAGCTTCTGGTCCCGCTTCCTTGGCAAACCACCGCCTATTCGCCCGTCGCCGTTTCAGCCTTTCGCTTCAACCACTCGCCCTCGCAGCGCATATTTTCGTCGCAACCGGTCAACAGCCTTGGGAACACAGATATGCACGCCTCTGCACGACTAGAACTTTCGATCCAATCGTCGCGACCCCTCATTCTGGGTGCCTGTTGTTTCGAAACACGGACAGGCCATGAAACGGCTGCCATCAGCGTTCGCCGCGTTTCAGGTGAACTACGCCTCCTCCACAACGCTAGCTACAATTCTGCTCGCTGCAGCTGAGGCTGAGAATATGGCTGGGTTATATAGCCGGCGATGGAGGCATGTTGGTGTTTTGGTCAGGACGACGTTCTTCCACTACCAGCGCAGCGCGCCTTGAATACATTTCTTTCTTGTACATCCTTTCCTCTTCTGCATCATGAGCGGTTACGAACATTCAAGCGCTGGCTCGCTGTATACATACGATACCAATGAGGATTCTGAATATGACGCCTTCGACACTGCGTTTTCAGCATGGAGCTATGTGGAGGATCAGCCCAGCATTGCTAACAAATATCAACAAAGCCCTATCGGTAAGTGAACATCTTTCCCAGTGCCCCAGAGTAGTACTTGGACTGACACGAAAACAGAGGCTTTGCAACATCTTCCTTCACAATGGACGACCGCAAACTCCGCGCGCCAGCCCTTCGCTTCATCGCAACACCTCTCCGCTTCGAGCTTCTCGTCGGCAATGTCGAGCTATCGATCCTCAGGGAACAGCAGCTTCTCGCAAACCCCTCTCCGAGACTCAATGTCATCATCCACATCAAGCTATTCGAACACGTCCGACATATCGCGGAAACAACACTTTTCCATGGCCGAACATCTCTTGTGTCACGGTCCCACCGATCCACCTCTATATTCCCCCACTCCAACAGAAGAGCCCTGCCACCGTCCTCCCAAAGGAAAGTCCCCCAAGAAACCCTCTCCACAATCAAAAGACTACTTCAAAACCTGCATCTCCGCACACAAACAATCCCGCCTCTGCCCCAAACCCCACGCCTACTTCTGCACCATCTGCACCCGCCCCTTCATCTCAAAAGCAGACTGGAAGCGGCACGAAGAAACCTACCAAGAGCGGCCCGAAATGTTCGTGTGTGGACTCTGCGAGTGCATATATTTCCTCGCCAAAGACTACACGAAACACCACGCTACAGCCCACCGATGCACGTCCTGCGCTGAGGCGGGGCCTGGCAGGAAAAAGGTTCATGCGCTGTCTGCGAGACGGCGGCGCATGACGAGGACGGGCTGGGGCTGTGGGTTTTGCGTTCATTTTAGTAACGAGTGGGGGGAGAGGTGCGATCATGTTGGGCGGCATATGGGGGAAGAGGGGAAGGGCGTGAGGGAGTGGAAACATACTAATGTTATCTACTCTCTACTCCAACGACCGGGGATATGTCATGAGTGGATAAGACTAGTTCGCGCACTTCCCAGTCTTAATCAGTTTGGATGGAACAGGACTACTACTGGAAGAGTTGAGGGGTATCCGGAGAGTAATCTTACGCCTCAGCTGCAGGATTACCTCGAGTATTTTACGGAGGAGCAGGATGCGGCGGCTGTAGCGAGGTTGGCTTATGGGAAGATGAAGAAGGCGACTGCGCTGACGAGGGTGGATGAAAGGCCGCCTGTTCCGCCGAAGGATTGTCCGGCTGCGGAGGTGCGGAGTTGGGATGGTGAGATTGATCTGTGGGGGCAGCTTACCGATTCGGTGGTTGAAGATGATGTGCTGCCTACGGGGATTAGTCGTTTGGGGGGATGGTATGCTGGGGAATGATGCTTTGAGCGGGCCATGTTATGCGAAGTCTAATGTATAATGGATTGATGGCCATGTTCTCAAGAGACGATCTACAACGATCCCATAACGACGCATGATCAAAATCCTCGCCATCACCACCCCTCCAACTCCTCGCCCTTCGTCTCCAGACTCGGCGGCTGAACAGGCATACCCTTCTTCAACGCACCCACAAGCGGATCTTTACTCATCATATCCTGTATCTTCTCATCAGTGCTAACATCAGCCTTAACCCGCTTATACGCCATCCGCGAAGGCTTATCCACAACATTCAAAAAGCTCTCCCTCCTCGCCGTTGACCACGCGTTCAACAACCTCTCACCATCCGCCGCCTTCCCAGTAAGAACACGAATGAGAACCTCAGAAAGCGAAGACGCATCCGCCATCCCAGACGCCAGCCCAAGTCCCGCATACGGATTCGTCAAATGCGCCGCATCCCCCACAAGACAAACACGCTCGTCATGATGATACAACGACGGCACAAGCCGCTGTTGCGCTTTATACGGCGCCACCCTCACGACCTCATACACCTTATTCCCCCGCCCATCCCTTCCCCCATTCGGCATCATAACCCCCAACTTCTCATCCAGCGTCCTCATAATCTCCGCCTCCGACACCCCAATCGGGACTCCGTAACTCACACGCCATAAGGCGGGTTTCCCATCCGCGGTGGCGTCGGCGTGGTTGATACGGCCAATGAGACCGTAGTTCAGCGGATCCATGATGAAGTTCGCGTCGTGGAAACCGTGGGCGTGGAAGTCGAAATGCAGGTCTGTGGCTACGAGTTGGGCGTCGAGTGTTTCGCCTTCGAGGCTGATGGAGAGGTCTTTGCGGATGGTGGAGTGGGCGCCGGATGCGTCGAGTAGGTAGAGGGCTTCGAGGGATTCGGAGCCGAGTTGTGTTGAGGTGGCTTCGGGGGTGATTTGCACGGTGACGCTGCTGGGGGTTGATTTGAAGGAGGTGACGCTTGTTCCGAGGCGCACTTCTGCCTTTTCGTCACCCAGAGCGGCTAGGCGCTTCATGAGGATTTGTTGGAATTTTCCTTGTGGTAGTAGGAGTTGTCCCTTTCCTTTCATGCCTTCGCCTGAGTTGTCGAATGTTTTCCACGCGATCACTTTGCTGCCGTTTTGGATGCTCGTTCGGAAACATAGACCTGAACTTAAGCTTCCCGTCTTGACCAACTCCTGTAGTAGGCCTTCGACTTTAGATAGGATGGGATATGTAGGCGGCTGATGGGCCATTGCGCGCGTCGACATGGGATCTGGCTGCTGCGGTTCAATGACAACCACTTTGTTGGGTATGTCGGACTGTGCGAGGAGGAGAGCTAGGAAAAGACCGACGCAACCGCCTCCTGCAATTACGATTGGGAGGGGTTTGGCATTGTCACCGTTGGTGCCGTTCGTGTGCGAGAAGCCGTAGGAGAAGTCGCTGGACACGTTGGTATCGTCGTTTCCGGTGCTGACGTTGAGGTTCGATAAGTCGAGATTAAGTGCAACCGAAACCGCCATAGCTAGTGGATGATCTGAAGCTTTTGCTGTTGAGTTGGGGGTAATCTGGGAATTAAGATGTGTTGAAGGTGGACTGATGCCTTCCACGGTGACCGAGGTCTATATCTGGATGCAAGGTCGATTTGGTGGTTTAACATCAGGAATGGCATCTTAGTATTGCGTGTGTGTATTAACAGTTCTTTTTCGGATACCGAACAATGTTCCCGGCGATGTGGTGCTGTCATTGTGGTACCTGCTGCAACGGCCCCGATGTGGGGAACCGGCGACTTTAGCCTCAGGGTCCAGGCGACGTCAGAGGGTTTCAGGGACCTTCGCCCGACCACCGAAATCACAGGAGATGTGCACATGCAGAAAGGATTGTAAACCATCATCTTTTGAGACTATTTGTAAGAACGTTGATACGTCTTGCCATCTACCTGACCGTAGTATAACGCTGTGCGGACAACTGCCTCTGCCAACAACAACTTGTTAGGAAGAAGCACGCCAATCTTGCGCCATCCTGATGCAATAAGTACTAACCTTCTGAAGTCCCCTCTCACGGGTAGAGAAACTGGATGGCAGCCTTGTCTTGATCCGAAATCTTAGTAGGACGTGGAATCCTCTGCGCGTTCGACGAATCAGGTCCTGAGCCGTCACTCGGACGTCCGTTCTTCCAGCGCACAAGAGGCATATCTTGGACGGCGCCGTTAGGATATCCAGCGGCCGAAGCAGAATAGTACTGCATTATGGAGTCGTGGTCGTACTGAAAACCCTTGGTTGGAACATAGTCGTGACGGTCCTCGTTTTGGCCCATGTCCAACGAATACTCATGAGGTACCCCCCAGTTGAGGTCCCTGGTGGTACCCAGATATTGCGACTTACATACTTCGTCGATCGTGAAACCCCTCCACCGGGGCTCGCTCTCAACCTTTTTCTTGGCCTCCCAGTAACCGATGAGCTTCGTGCAGTCGAAGTGGACAAACTGGTCCCCTGAAACCATTAGTTAAAGTAGGAATATTCCCACATAGACAAAACTCACTATCAGCTCGCTGATGCTCATGCTCTAAGCCAATAACATGTCCCATCTCGTGGACTACTTCCCAGGCCCAATTGTTCCATCCAGATGAATCGTAGGCGATCTGGAGACTGTGGCGACCAGGACGGTTGTCGCTGAACATAGAAAAAGGTCTTTAGTAATTTGGCGGCGGATATTAAAAATGTCGACTTATTTAGTTGACTTACTATTTTTCAGCGGCGTATCCTGTTGTCGCACGACTGTGACCCACCGTCGACCACTCGATCACAAGGGTACCTTGGGGGACTCGTGGGTTCCACATCCATTGTTTGGTTTGATATATGAAGCAGCGCGGATGCATGTTGTTGGCTTTGTCGTAGTAATGGCGAAAGCCATCAAATCGATGTCGATTCTTAGATGGGGGGCCCAACTTGTTCTTCCACGCAACTGCTGCATCATTCACTATCGTAGGCAAAGTCAGTAATCTTAACTCTGGCAATACAAGCTGGAACAAGCAGCGTCACGTACCGATCTGATGAAGCTCATGGTAGTCCCTACGTGTTGCGAAGCAGTAGTGGATGTACACCAGATTAACGTTCTTGGGATCGTTAGGCCAGACGGCCTTGTTGGGCGTGGCTCCGCCGCCGATGATGGTCATCCAACCCTTGCCTCCGTCACCACCTAGCTGCCCGCTTGCTTGTAGTTCGGCGACGCGGTCTTCGACTAACGAGCTGTTGGTGAGACGATTGTCGTTGAAAGGGAACGTGCAGGCGGAGGTCAGTGTCGCAAAAAGACCGACGAGAAGGAGGAGTAACACCCGCATGTTAAACCAAGATGTGGGGATTTCAAGTAAGTGGAGTGCGGTGAAGTCGGTTGACGGGTAAGAGAGGAGATGAGAGGGCGGATTGTTACCGGCAAGACAACTTGAAAAGTTTTTGCTAGCGCGATTATCTCTTCAGTATATATGGCCGCCTGGAGGTGAGCGAAAAAGAGCAAACGCTCTCAAAGAAGCTTTGACCAATACAGCGTCTTGGACGGGCGGTGACCGATCGGCTGTCTCTGCCCTCCACCTCTTATGGATATTGTAACAACAACAAGGCAAGCAGAAGCACGATGTTTGCAAAACAAAGGTAAGTAGAACGGTTAGTCAAGAATAGATTTGTTGATACCTAAAGCAGTGACATGATCTGATAGACGATCGGAGCCCACAGCTATCTAGTCTGAATTTCGTGATCCGATAAGCAGAAAAGCTCTTACATCGTAGCTGCTCGAATAGACCGAGATTGTGACACAGTATACACATCAAGTCGCTTGCTCACAAACCCTACTTCCTCGCAATCGCAACATCAGCAACCATCCTTATCTTGTTCACCCCACCCTCAACCTTGGACCACTCATTACGAGGCAATTCTTCCACGATAAAGTCGAGCGCCTCCTCCCACATCCTCTCATCGCGCTGCTGCCATCCACCGACAGGCGTCCCCAAAAAGGTCCACGCAATAGACGCCCATCACCCAAGATCAGTACCAAGAATCAGATACGCCTCCTTCTGCACATATTTGACATCCTTCCACCCAGCCGCCCTGGTGGCTCGCTCAATCTCTTCCTTCTGGTAGCAACTCTTGCTCAGAAAATGCGCCATTGGCTCCTCCGTACCACGTGTCTTGTAGTGCGCGTTCTTAAGCGCAATTTGCCATGGCATTTCTGCCCCAGTAATAACGCCTGTGCCAACTGGCTTCAAAGTACGTAGGATATGCGAGGCGGCGCCGCCGTCGTCAGAGAGGCCTGCGAAGACGAAGTTGGTGAAGGAGTAATCGAAGGTGTTGTCTGGGAAGGTGAGGTTGCAGGCGTCCATTGTCTCGACTTTGAATGGCCACGAGGGGTTGTCGGTGAGATTGTCTTACAGCTGAGCGAGGAACATGGGGTTTGCGTCCGTGGCGTGAATCTTGAGACCTGCTGGTGGGTTATTTCTCATCATCGCCATGGTTACTGCGCCGGGACCGCAGCCGTTGTCGTGGACGACTGACGTTGCAGTGAGTGGTGGGAGTTCCTCGAGGACTTGTTGCGCAATGGTATCGCTGACATCGCCTTGGAGTTCTTGGAGGAGGGCACCGTCGAAATCGAGTGCTTGCTTTGGCTTGAACGGGGCGGTCATGATTTTGGAACTGGATTTGTGGATGGAATGCTGCTATGGGGTTTTGGTAGGTGATGTGCCAGTGTAAGCCCCAGAGATGGTACTAAGAATATGGTCAATGAAGAACCATATCTTCACATACTGAAGTCGGGGACTTTTCCAGAGGTATGGTCGACCGTGCTCCTAAAAGTGTCCGATGTAGGTTGTTGCCATTGAACAGAACAGATTACAAACTCAGTAGAATTCCACGGCACGGTGATACCGTGAGAGACCTTGCAGTACCCGGCCTTTACAGGGCGTAAATTACATCGATCAAGCTGTAACAGGACAATGGCGGTGGTGATAGCCTCGAGTGACGGATAGATATCTCTTTCATAGCCGTTGGCTGGACGGTTCAATCGGATAAGTCGAAGAACGCGTACACACGATACCCCAGCAGGTGAAATGCGAAGGGGTTCATGTGTATCGCATGCAAGGAGCCCATCGTAACCAGACGTCGATGCTTGGAGCACTCAAATATCTGATGCGCCCTCTTACGAGGCCTTTGTATCCCGTTTCTGGCTTATCATTCTTGGGAGAAGACCTAGTCTGAGGACTCGAAGTGTGAACGAGGCATATATGATCGTGATAGCCGAATAGAACAGAGGCCGGTAGTAGTTCATGCTCTGAAGGATCGAAATGATTACGTGGTTAGTCTTGGCTTGTTTGAGCTGGAGTGCAGGAGATGTCGGAGGGCTCGGCTACCCCGCGAAGGTTGGCGCGCTGTCGCTGATGGCTCGAGTCGTGAAGCAGCGCACACAAAGAATTTGCCTCCTTTGTTATCGAAACGATGTACAAGTTGCCGAATGCGTGTTGATGACTACGAGGGGCATGCGTCGGGCTAAAGATGGGACGGTGGTAGTGAGATGTGGCTAGTGACGTACGCCACCCGTGGACCGCGTGGGCCGAAACAAACCATAGAACGGGACACGAATTGCCAAGTCAAGACATCCACGAATGCTCCCCCAGAACCCTCAAAGCCTCTTTCTCCCATATACCAAGCCTTCTTGATGTGGTAGCGACTGCATTACGCGTCTTTCAAGATGTCTGCGCCCACTACATCGGACCCCATACAGCAGAGTGGTAGGTGAGCTTGCAGCCCTCGGAGGTGCCAGTAAACTCCGCTTTCACGTCGCGGCCCATGTGGGAGCACGGAAGAATTATACGCTGACAGGCGACGACAGGCACTTTGTCCAAGTCGCAGAAAAAGAAGAACAAGAAGAAAGCCGCTGCTGCGAACAAAGCGGACGGCACAGACAAAGTGAATGGGGACCACGCCAGAAGCGACGCGGAGGATCACGACGAAGACGCCGAGGATGAGGCCGAACAGGCTGTATGCGGTCCACGAGAGCCCTCTATACAACCACGAGTACTAATGGTGTCCATGCAGAAGCCCGCCGCGCATTCAGCCGACCCAGACGCCGACGACGTAGACGACGACCAACCGCCGCTGTCGCCGACCCTGCAGACAAACGGGACTCCACACCACAGCATCTCGTCCGCGATTGCGCTTGGACTGGCACGCTCACGCTCGCAACAAGGAATCTCCGCGTCCCCGCCTCCTCCCTCAGATGCCAGCGCACGCCTCGACGCGATAGCCAAGGAGCGCGATGCGCTACGCCAGGAAGTCACAGAGCTGAGGAAGAGTCTGGAGGAGGTCCAGAACAAGCAGAGCACAGGGACATCAGACGAGTCACATGCGAATCATGAGGAAGAGATGCGGAGTTTGAGGGAGGAGCTGGATGAGGCCAATGAGGGCAAGGAGCACTTCGAGACACAGTACAAGAACCTGCTCGGCAGAGTCAATACGATCAAGACCAGTCTGGGCGATCGGCTAAAGGCAGACGCGGTATGTTTGCGCAGGAGTTTGGAGCAGACAGAGTACTGACCCAGTGTAGGCCAGAATCGAGGAATTCCAATCGCACATCGCCGACCTCGAGGAGCAAACCCGCGAGCTACAAGAGAACAACAACAGCCTGACCGAGGAACTCGCGAAGCTACGGCAAGAGAAGGAAGCCCAGGCATCCGAGATCGAGACCCTACGGAGCAGGTCGACTCTGTCGCAACAGAACTGGATCAAGGAACGCGATGAGCTGATTTCACGAGAGGCATACGCTAGGGAGGAGTTCGAGAACGCCAAACAAGCCATGCAAGATTGGGAAGTGTTGGCCATGAACGAGCGATCTCTGCGCGAGAACCTGGCTGAAAAAGACGCCGAGTTGCGAGACCAGTTGGAGTCGATGCGGGAAGAGTACGAACGCGCTGCCAGGGATAGGGACACCAATAATCAAGCTGTGGAGGGTCTGCAGAAGGCGCTGCAGGAAGTCCAAAACCGTGAGTACATTCCGGCTATTCCAAGATATCTCCTAGCTGACCATGTACAGTGCGAAAAGCCGAGCTCAAAAAGTCCGTCGAGACCTACGAATCGCAGATCAACGACCTGCGGAAACAAGTCCAAGCCGCGGAATCAGCGTCCAACGCCGCCAAAGCGACTCTCGAGACCACCCAGAAAGACCTCGAGCGCGCCCTCCCCTTTGAAAAGGAAGTCAAGGAGAAGAACCTTCTCATCGGCAAACTGCGCCACGAAGCCGTAACACTCAACGAACACCTCACAAAGGCGTTGAGGATACTGAAAAAAGGACGGCCGGAGGATAACGTCGATCGACAGATCATCACAAACTACTTTTTGCATTTCCTGAGTATAGACCGGAGTGATCCGAAGAAATTCGAGGCGCTGCAGCTCATCTCTGCGCTGCTGGGCTGGACAGATGGTATGCCCCCCTTCCCTCCTCCCCTCTCCCCTCACCCTCACACCTTTCCTCTTACTAACCCCCCACCCAGAGCAAAAAGAGCAAGCAGGTCTCGCTCGCCCCGGCACATCATCCAGCTCAACCGGCCTCCGCATCCCGCTCTCCTCGCCCTTCAGACGAACGCCATCGACGGCGTCGCTGAGCGCCGCTGCCGCAGACCCTATGCTCATGGCTAGTAGCTCGAGTAATAAGGAGTCGTTGGCGGAGCTGTGGCAGGACTTCTTGGAGAGGGAGGCGGCGGAGGGCAAGGGCGATGCGAGTAGGAGGGGGAGTACGGTTGGTTCGCCGCCTATGGGTGCTAACGAGAAGAGGTAATGCGAGAGTGGGTGTAATTATAGGATATGAAGTCTGCTTGAGGCTTTGGTGCAATAGAGTAGGTGCTGAAGATACCTTGGATTGTTTGATGAGGTGTTCATTGACGTCGAAAACATCTTGATTGCTTATCGAAGTGTTCATTTGCGATTGTGTATATCGTAGTCTTCGATCCGTTATGTTGTTACATATTCCATGTACAGGTATCCCAACGCCCAAGCCGCGCCTGTATATGCGCTACAAATAGTCATCCAGAATACATGCTAATTGCTCTAGTTCGCTGTTTGTCCTTCCTCCCCGCACCATCTCTTTCAGCCTGCGTAGTTCTCGTTCATAACTTTGTTCACCCCGCATCATCTCTTCCAGCCCGTGTGCTTCATTATTGCCTCCTCCTTCGCCTTCCTTTGGTCGGGCTCTAACGTTCGCATCCGCTGCGCCTCTTCGCGCTTTTCTCTCTTCATGACCTTCGCTTGCTTGTCGGTCGGTCGGCGGATGGCCCAGTTGAGCTGGCCGAAGATGGTGGTCTTGATGGCTGGGGTGTTTGTTAGTGAATAGCCCTTCCAAGGGGGATTGACAGTCTTACCATCCACACAGTATGGACACAGGATGTGCAGGCGCTTGACTCTTCCGCACCCAGAACATGTGTTGAGGGATGTGATGTCCTTCAGTCCCTTGCCCGCCATGAACCGTTGGCGCTTCTTGCGGTATGACGTCTTCTTCTTGGGCACCGCATTGAGTATGCCGTCCCAGATATCGGATAGTGACGGTATTGAGGGGAGTGATAGGGACGGTATCGCGAGTGCGCCGAATGGTGTGTTGATTGCGCCGAATGGTTGTGATAGGCGTTGAAGGAAAGGCGTGTTGAGGATGGGCCGCATTGGGCCATTGAGGCCCGGCAGCAGCGTCTGCCAGAGCGGAGGGAGCGGACGAGTGAGTGCCATGACTGCAGCGGTGACTGGCTGCGACGGGATTACGTAGGGCCGCGAAATGGCGATGCCGGTGATGGTGTTGTAAAATGTCGTGACCCCAGTCCGAGCTTGCAGGTCGCGCCTTACCGCCCTCCCACTAGCGCGCTTTCGCTTCCTAGCTGCCCCCTTTCCCGCGCCTGCATCTCCACGAGAAAGTCGCCAGCGCAGCGACCCTGACTATTTACTCTATTACGACGACACCTCCGACCCTCCTCTCCCCAACCTAATTCCCATTCACCCACCCACCTCCATCACCCCCAGTCCGCGCCCCGAGGCTCCCATCATCCACAATGGCTGCTGCATACAACCAGAACCAGTCGCAGCCCATCTTCCCGGACAGCTATGTCGGTTTCGACAGCATCACCAAGCAGATTGAGCGCAAGTCGGTCAAGCGGGGCTTCCAGTTCAATGTCATCTGCGTTGGTATGACACATCTCCATCTTCTATCACGTGTGTTCCTTGGTATTGACGGTGTACAGGACAGACTGGTCTCGGCAAGTCGACACTGATCAACACGCTCTTCGCCTCGCACCTCATGGACTCCAAGGGCCGCTTCCAGCCCGACGAGGAGGTCCGCAGCACCACCAACATCCACCCCGTCTCACACATCATCGAGGAAAACGGCGTGCGTCTGCGCCTCAACATCGTCGACACGCCCGGCTACGGCGACCTGATCAACAACGAGCGCTGCTGGGACCCCATCGTCAAGTACATCAAGGACCAGCACAGCGCTTACCTCCGCAAGGAGCTGACCGCCCAGCGTGAGCGCTACCTCCAGGACACGCGCATCCACTGCTGCCTGTTCTTCATCCAGCCCTCTGGCCACGCCCTCAAGCCCATCGACATTGTCGTCCTCAAGAAGCTCAGCGAGTTTGTCAACGTCGTGCCCGTCATTGCCAAGAGCGACAGCTTGACCCTGGAGGAGCGTGCCGAGTTCAAGCACAGGATAAAGGAGGAGTTCCAGTTCCACAACCTGCGCATGTACCCCTACGACAACGAGGAGGATGACAACGAGGAGGTCCAGGCAAAGCAGGCCATCAAGGTGAGGGACGTGTCGAGGTGCGACTGGACGTCTGCTAACTTCCACTAGGAACTCCTTCCCTTTGCCGTCGTCGGCTCTGAGAGGACCGTTGTCGTCAACGGCAGGAACGTCCGTGGTCGCCAGAACAAGTGGGGTATCATCAACGGTAGGCCAAACCAAACGCTCCTCCACGCGAACTCCACTAACACCCCACAGTCGAGGACGAGAACCACTGCGAATTCGTCTACCTCCGCAACTTCCTCACCCGCACCCACCTGCAAGACCTGATCGAAACGACCGCACAAATCCACTACGAGTCGTTCCGCGCCAAGCAGCTGCTTGCCCTCAAGGAGAGCTCTCACCAGGGCCACTCCTCGCGTCCTATCTCACCCTCTGCCGACCGCGAGCTCAGCAGGAACAGCCAGCGCATGACCATGAACGGGTACTAGGAGTTCCCGAATCATAACCGCGTCGATAGTAGCGGGGGCAAGCCCAACGGCCCTCCACCACCGCGTATGGAGCCACGCATGGAAAGGCCTGTCCCTATGATCGATGCTATCTGAGCGGAGGTGGTTTAGGTGTGCGTCAATCGCAAGGGGGGGGGCATTTGCGACATGTTTTTGATACCAGTGCATCATCTAGCACGAAAAGGGAGAGGAGGAGACTTTGCGGCACACTTTTCGATTTGACACCTTTCTCAATATCCTTTTAGTTACGATGGATTCTTATTATCTTTCTTCATCTCGTATGTCATAGCACGGTGTAGTGGTTGAGCTAAGACCTTGGGTTGTGCCCGGGTCCCCTTCTAGGATAGCGGAGTAATTTGAAGCCTAGTGCTTTTCCATCATTCTTGCAAGACTGTATCACGGCTTGGTGTCTTGCCCCGTTTGCCTGGTAGTTCGCTCTTTCCGCCGGTGTAGCGTTGTCAGGCCATAATCCTGTGGATGGTACGAGGCCCAGTCCGCTCTACCCAGGGAGGCAGGTACGGGATACCAGATGATACGAGCGCAGATCCTCATTACCATTCTCCCCATTGAGACAGACAGGGCTCAGCGCCGCCCGACCCGCCCGAAGTCAACACCCAGAGATCGTGTTGTATGCTCCCAACCATCCCCATTCAGCGCAACAACTTGGACCCTGCAAAATCCTCTATACTATCATCCCCATTTTTCGTACCACCAGCCTTACTCTGTCCCGTTACTCGCACCGGCCCCGTCTTCCCTCTTACTGGTGATCGTGATCCATCAGGTGATTTTGTAGAGGCATTGTGACTATCGGCTTCGCCGACGATTCGCTCGATAACTTTTGCTTTCGCCCCAGCGCGCTTGAACCTATCGTCAAAGTCCGCAACGCCTTCTTCAGTGTTTGCGGTGTCGAAGGTGAGGGGGTCGGTTAGGGAGTGCAGGAGTGTTGTGTTGTTGAGAAGGCGGGAGTTGTTTGACAATTGCGGCAGGGTTTTGTTCTCCTCTTGTGCCTTTTCTTCTATCCTCCCCGTTACGCCTAGCTCCTCTTGGTTCTTTGATATTGAAGTAGAATTGGATGTGAGACCTGGTAACCGTGATCCCCATACTACACTCCGTCCATGGAGTTCTCCGAGAGAAGCGAACTTTTCGAAGCCTTTTTCTAACCCGAAGATTCGTCCTTCGATTCGCCCGGCGTGGGCGCCGGAGGTGGCGCCGAGGGCGTAGGCGGTGGTGTAGAGGGTGTCTTCTAGGGTTAGGAGGGCGTCGAAGGGGTCTGGGGAGGGGGCGCGGGTGGTTGGTGGGTTGGGAGGTTGGGATGCCATGGTTGTATGAATAGTGACTCGACGGTCCAGCTGGTTATGTATATGGCCTTTCTCTCGTGGTGCTACCGCACAACTTTTGAGACCAAATTTAAATATTTATGGTGTGGATGAGTCAAGTCTTGGTATCTCTTCAAAGAAAATTACCCTTAGTGCTTTGTAGAAAAGGCAGTAATTCAAGCTTCCGTAGACAGTTCTACTGAGATCCGTGTGAGTTCCGCTTCTGAACGCGATCAAGTCCTTTGCTGCAAAGATCAAAGTCAGGGTTCAGCCACCTGTGGCGTCACTGGCTGGTGGGGTAAGTTTAGGCGGGGCAGCTACCACACACCCGTCGTGCGTGCAGTCATTCGCGTTTGACTCAGCTACTCGACCAAAGAAACGTGAAGCTGCATATACTCCCATTGCACGCTCGCTTTCCTCCCATCCTCTTCGCCTTCAATCACATACCCCGAAACATCATAGTAAGAGCTACATCGTCGTTGCCCCATTCAGTACAACAAGCTGACTCAATACAGCTTACAACCTTCCATGACTGAGACAACCAAGAAGATTCTGCCCGTAGAGGGCGAGCGGAACGTGCTCATTACCAGCGCGCTCCCCTATGTGAACAATGTCCCGCATCTGGGTAACATCGTCGGCTCCGTACTCTCCGCCGACGTCTTCGCTCGTTTCTCACGCGCCCGAGGTTACAACACACTATACGTCTGCGGAACAGACGAGTACGGCACAGCAACGGAGACAAAGGCAATAGAAGAGAAGTGTACGCCAAAGGAACTATGCGACAAGTACTTCGCGCTTCACAGCGAGGTCTACAAGTGGTTCAACATCAGCTTTGACCACTTCGGACGCACACCCACACAGCAACAGACCGACATCGCACAAGACATCTTCACAAAACTATACAAAAACGGATTCCTCGAGGAACAGACCACAACGCAGCCGTACTGCGAGACACACAAGAGCTTCCTTGCGGACCGATTCGTCGAGGGCACATGTCCGTTGTGCGCATACGAAGACGCGCGTGGAGACCAGTGTGACAAGTGTGGACATCTTCTCGACCCTCTGGAGTTGAAGAACCCGCGTTGCAAGCTTGATGGCGCCACGCCAGTTCCGCGCGAAACCAAGCACGTGTACCTCTGCCTCGACAAGCTGCAGCCATCAGAAGAGGAGTGGTTCAAGAAGGCCAGCAAGGAGGGCAACTGGAGCTCCAACGGTGTTCACATTACTTCATCGTGGTTGAAGGAGGGTCTAAGACCGCGTGGTATCACTCGTGATCTAAAGTGGGGAACTGCGGTGCCGCTCGAGGTACGACGCAATTTTGAACACGACGAATTTCAGCTGACCGGTATCAGGGCTATGAGGACAAGGTTATGTACGTATGGTTCGACGCCTGCATAGGTTACGTGTCGATTACAGCAACATACACCGAGGACTGGAAGAAATGGTGGCACAACCCAGAACACGTCAAGCTTTACCAGTTCATGGGCAAGGATAACGTGCCGTTCCACACGGTGGTCTTCCCCTGCTCCCAGATCGGTACCAAGGACAACTGGACCATGCTCAACACTATTTCAACCACCGAATACTTGAACTACGAGAAGGGCAAGTTCTCAAAGTCAAGGAACATTGGTGTCTTCGGCAACAACGCCAAGGAGACAGGCATTCCATCTGACGTGTGGCGCTACTACCTTCTCTCACATCGACCAGAAACTGGAGATACCGAATTCGAGTGGGACGGCTTCATTGCCGCAAACAACAACGAGCTGCTGAAGAACCTAGGCAACTTCATCAACCGCGTGATCAAATTCGTTAACAACGCCAAGATCTACGATTCGGTCGTACCTGACTGGACCAAGTACGACGATGAGTACTTCACGGAGCACAAGAAGAAGGTCAACGATCTGCTGAAGACGTACATTACCGAGCTGGAGGATGTCAAGATTCGTGCCGCACTCGCGACCGCGCTTCATGTCTCAAGCCTGGGTAACTTGCTGCTGCAAGACAACCGACTTGACAACAAGCTGGCTACAGAACAGCCAGATCGTTGCGCCGCTGTCGTTGGGCTCGCTTTGAGCCAGATCCATCTTCTCGCCAGTTTGATCGAACCATACATGTAAGTCTTGAATCTGTCTCATCTTATGACTGCGCACATGGTCGAGCAGCATAAGCAACATCGGACTATGGAATCTATGGCTAACCATAATACAGGCCCGATACGACTGCCGCCATCCTCTCTCAGCTGAATGCCAAGTTCCTCATCATCCCCGACAAGTGGGAGGCGCAATCAATCCCCGTCGGCCACAAGATCGGCACGGCCGGCTATCTTTTCACCCAGATCAAACCTGAGAAGGAGCAAGAGTGGCGCGAGCAATTTGGTGGCGAGGAGGCTCGCAAAGCTAAGGAGGAGAAGGCCAAGAAGGCGGCCGCTAAGAAGGCAGAGAAGGAGCGCAAGAAGGCGAAGAAGGCTGCCGGTGCTGACAAGGGTGTGGAAGCTGCAGAGAAGGGCCAAGACGGACCTGCTGCCAAGACCGCGGAGGAGGAAGTGTCGAGAGGCGTTGAGCAGATCAGCCTACAGACCTCGTAGTGTGTGAGTCTGATCAGGCGGTTCTGGGAGTTCTGGCGCTACGTTTAGGGGAGAGCACTGGCAGCATGATGCAGGGGCGTTCGCATTCAACAAATCTTGGGGGTTGTCAACATATGTTCGATGAGAAACATGACTACGGCCATGGGATGGTAGAGCGTCCTTTTCAGGACGAGGACAGTTGGTCTGTTTTAACATGTAGCCACGCGTAAGGCATGAGTTTGTTTTATTACAGCCGACCCGAATTGTTCACTTCAAAGTACCATCGCATGCGGCTTCACGGTCAACATCTCTCCGCCCGCCACATCCATGTGGTCAGAATCACTTCTATCAGTCACCTTTGCATGCCTCGTATGCTCCCAGAGAAAGTAGGACAGGACTTTACTAGAGCCGCGTTTATCCGAGATCCGTTGGACCCTGGTTTCAAGGTTGGAGTAGGTCCTGAGCCGGCTCGTTACTCTATGTCAACAACGACGATAATACCAGCTTATCGTATCTAGGTCTGGGCAAGTCTCTACTATGAGTACTTCTATGACACGCGTATTAGTAGCCCTTGATCCGCATCATAGTACCTGAGCGGAGATGCGCACTCTTGCACAAAGGCCATGCAGTGACATGTTTGCGCTCAACCACCATCGTGACTACCTCGCAGTATGACGCTCCTGCCCTACACGTCTCCATGTCCCCCATTAAGACAATGTGCTCACCGGAAATGACGACTACCCCGCACTCTTTGTTTATCACCGTGAGGCATTATCCTCCGCTTCTGTTCTCCTCCTCTTCTCCCCGTCACCTTCACTGTCCGTGCGCAATTTCTCAAGCCGCTGCGTCTCTAGAACGCTCCTCGCCGCGTAAGCCAAGCAAAACAACCATACACTCAATCGCGAACCGCAATTAGTTTGCTCTTTACCCAAACTCGCCGCTGTCGCCATTCCGTCGCATTTGTTCCGCGACAAGGTACTTGGCTTCCCCAATTGCAGCCGCAGATGAAGAAACTAAACATGCGCAGTACCAGCGACCGCAGGTACACCATGGCGAGCGGATACGTCCCCCAGATTGACAAGATGGCCGGGATGACTCCCACGGAGCGCCGCGAGTTCTGCGACACCCCCGAGATCGCTGCCGATGCTTCTTCTGTCAAACCGCCGAGCACCACCGCCAAGTACGACAGCAATGTCTCGATGAACACCTATCCCGCTGCCGAAGACGGTGTCGCGGAGCAGGCCAAGGGTCCGGCTGATATGGAGGGCTTGACTGTTGTGTGGACCAAGAAATGGCTCATTGCCGCTTATGCTGCGTGAGTCCATCTCGCTATTGCGGTTCATCTTCTACCCGTTGATGCTTTGTGCCGCTACGATGTATACAGCAATGCTTACATTCCATAGGATCATGCTCATTTCTTTCGTCAACTCTCTCCAACAACAAACCAACTTCTCATGGCGACCCTACGTCACCTCGGCCTTCATGATGCACGGTCTTACGGCTATCACCGATATCGTTGCGAACATTGTCGGAGGTGTATCGAAGCTTCCGCTGGCCAAGTTTATTGATATCGTTGGACGACCTCATGGCTTTCTTCTTTGTTTGATGTTCATCGTCGCTTGTAAGTTCATTCACTCCAACCAATCCAAACTCTTGCGAAGAGACTCATGGAACCGAAGCTCAAGGGCCAGAGGAAGAAGCTCATATCGACTCTCTAGTGTATATCGTCAGTGCTGACTAGAGTTCTTGTAGCGCTCATTCTCATGGCTCTTTGCCAAAACGTCCAGACCTTTTGCGCTGCGCAAGTCATCTACTGGACAGGCATGAACGGCGTCGATTACATCTTCAACATTTTCATCGCCGATACCGCGCTTATGCAGAACCGCTTGATCTGGATGGCGTTCACTGGATTCCCCTACGTTGTCAACACCTTCGTAAGTCCCCTTTCTGAAATTCGGTTGGACGTATACTAACATCCTGTCTAGGCTGGTCCCAAGCTTGGTGAAACCTGGCTCAACCACAGCACTTGGCGTTGGGGCTATGGATCTTTCGCTATCATGACACCAGTCTTCTCCATATCCTTCTGGCTCGTCTTCTGGCTCATGGGTAGACGAGCAAGAAAGATGGGCGTCATCTCGCGCGAGCCGAGCGGCAGGACGGTCTGGCAGAGCACCAAGCACTGGTGTACTGAATTTGACGGTAAGTTCAACTTGCAGTGAGACTTCTATACACTGCTAACAGTCACAGTAATCGGGGTCATACTCATCACCGGCGGATTCTCCCTGCTTCTTCTTCCGTGGCCTCTTGCAGTCTACCAGAAGGATGGCTTCGGCTCTCCAATGTTTATATGCATGGTCAGCTTCGGAATCTGCCTCATCCTACTCTTCGTGGCCTGGGAACGTTACTACGCTAGCCATGCCCTCTTCCCATACTACCTCATGAAGAACCGCTCGATCATCGCGGCATGCCTGCTCGGTTGCAACTCCTGGATCGCTTTTTAGTAAGTCCTCCAAAACCCGCGAGACATCTGTGCTGACATCGGGACTAGCTCATACCGCATGATGTACTCTTCATACCTTCAGGTCGTTTTCCAGCTTTCCGTTTCCAAGGCCGGATATATCACGAACATCTTCAACATCGTCTCGTGCACCTGGGCAATCATCATCAGCTTCGCCATGAAGTACACCGATACCTACAAATGGGGTGCCGTCATCGCCGTCCCCACTCAGCTACTCATGACTGGCTTGTTGATCTATCTCCGCACACCCGACTCCCCGATAGCGATCCTGATCCTGGTGGAGGTACTCGGCGCCATGGCGAGCGCTATGCTCTACAACGTGGAGCAAGTTGCTATCATGATGGCTGTACCGCACGACCAAGTCGCTGTTGCTATCGCGCTTCTCAACCTCGTCACGGCTGTTGGTGGTGCGATCGGCCAGTCTGTTAGCGGCACTCTATGGGCTCAAATCGTACCCAAGAGGCTCGTCGAGTACCTCCCTGAAGAATCGAAGCACCTGGCGCCAAAGATCTATGGTGATATCACTATGCAGTTGTCACTGCCATGGGGTAGTCCGGAGCGTCAGGCCGTGGTACATGCGTTCGGCGACGCGCAGAAAATCATGGTGTTGATGGGGACTTGTGCATTTGTGCCCTGCTTCATCTGGGTGGCCATGCTGGAGAACCAGCGCATGAGCGAGCGCAAGGCTCGCAAGGGTCTGCAGGCTTGATCGGTGTGAAAGAGTCGTGCTGCTCGACAGACTCAGGTGGTACAACAGGGTCGTTTGTATAAGATGACCAGTTGGTACGACGGGCTGAGGAAACGGAGGTCCGCGCGATACGCGCTGCAACACTATCTTGGTGGGTTGAAAAAGGAGTAGGCTAGCCTTCCGACTGGCTGTGGCAAGCGGTCGGTGGCCATTGACGGAGATCTCCCCTCGCGTTATGCATCATCTGAATATATGTACAATGAGATTCGGCTTCTGTGTTCGTTGGGCGGACTGCTCAGTGACCTTGCGTTCAGATCAAGAAGCTTGATCCGAGGCATACATGCTGTTCGGGAATTGACTATGCCACGTCTCCAGGTCGCGATAGACGTGTAACTTGAATAAGTAAGAGAATCTGTCGATGGCTGCGGTGGGCGGTCATGTTGAATGGGAGTCGACCAGCCCCTGCACATGAGAACTCGGAATCAGCGGAACATGCATGCCACCATGACGTTTGGCAGTCCCCTCTTCTGAAGCCCCAAATACCAAAGCACCAGTAAACCACACAGTATCTTGGCCCTTACTCCTAGCCAAACGAGCCTCATCGTCGCAGTAACGGCGGACTCCAGGATGCACCCTGCCCACCTATCGGCGGTGAGGCGCCAACGCATCCCAGCCTCGCCAATTACCTGAGTCGTAGCTCCGGTGCGCTCCACCAGCCACTGACATCCCAACCACAACGAGCCCGCAACCACACTTTCTTGCAAGCTTGTCTGCGGTGCTTCTTCCTGCACCTGCTCCGAACCAAATTATTCTCCGACATTGACACATTGACGTTGATTGACGTTCAATTACGTTGACAATGTATCTACCACATTTACTTGCCCTTCCGCCCGCCATCATCGCCCTCTGCGCAACACCCGTACTCGCCGAATCACCACCGCAATGGCCGCACAACGTACCCAGACACCTGAAATACTTTCCTGAAGATGAGGAACATGTGAAGAGGGGCTTGAGCGTCAAGCAGCGGCTGCAATATGAGAAGCCCGTTGGAGTTAAGAAGATGAGCATGGACGAGGGCGAGATGTTTATGCTGGACAATTGGATATTCGCCGCGGATACCCCGTCCCCGCAATCGTCCAAGAGAACAGACTACGATGTCTTTGGCAATACGACTTCGCAGGCTATTTCGCCGCTACGGCCGCTGGCTCAGTCGGATTGGCTGGCGCGCATGCACATCAGAGATATTCTTCTAAACCGCCAGTTCAAGTGTCCAGATGGAACAACGAGTTGCGAGAGCATTGGCGCGCCGGATGTGTGCTGTGGCACGAGCAGCACCTGTGTCAGTGTCTCTGGGAGCTCGAGTGCAGGCGATGTGGGATGCTGTCCCCAGGGCCAGACTTGCGCGGGTAGTGTGAGCTGCGATGAGGCGAGTGGGTATACGAGTTGTCCTGATGCGCAGAATGGAGGATGTTGTTTGCCGGGCTTCAAGTGTCAGGGTATTGGATGTAAGTTGCAGACTACATGACGCTACCGAATTGGATACTAACACATACAGGTGTCGCAGAATTCACATCAACAGCCTACATCCAACCCTCCACCTCCGCAACTCCCACCTCAACCTCAACCACCACAACCGCCGCCGCCATCCCTCCCACAACCTCGACTTCCAGCACCACCCCTTCAACGACCTCCACCTCAACCTCCCGTTCCGCATACACCTGCTCAACAGGCTGGTTCTCCTGCCCCGCCTCCCTCGGCGGCGGCTGCTGCATGAACGGCCGCACCTGCGCAACCGGCGCCTCCTGCCTCGGCGACGACGACAACCCGTCTTCCACGCGCGCCCCCGACGCCCCCGTCCGCCCCACCAGCGCCGCCGTAACAACCACCGACGCCGCCTCCCCCACCGACAACGTCTGCCCCGCCGGCTTCTACGTCTGCAGCGCGTACTACCCCTCGGGCTGCTGCCGCGTTGGCCGCGATTGCCAGACCACGGGGTCTTGTGCGCTGCCCGAGACGGATACTATTGTGAATACGAATGGTGTTGTTATCGTTGCGCCTACGGGTGCGGGGACTGGGGAAGGGAAGGGAAGCTGTCCGCAAGCGTGGTATAGCTGTGCGGCGGATGCGGGCGGGAATTGCTGTCCCGATGGGTATGCGTGTGGGGAGCAGTGTACGGCTACTGCGAGTGGCCAGTCCGGTGTGACGGATAAGGCTCAGCCGAGTAGCAGTCAGGCGAGCTTTGTAGGGGCTTGGAGTGTTTGGGGGATGGTGCTTGGGGCGGCGGGGTGTGCGGTTGGTATGGTTGTGCTGTAGGGGTGCGATTGGGGTGAATGGGTGCGGATGATATAATATGGAAATGATGTATATGATGGATATGATGGAGTTGATGTATATATTGCGAATGAACCTTCTTGAAAAAATGAAGATATGTACACTATGCTTGTCCGTATGAGGTACGTAGTGTGCTATCGCCAAATGAATCTGGATTGAAGGAACATACACGGAGAGACGACTGCAAGTTCAAGACAGGAGAAACACAAATACCAGCGCGTCAACATCGAGTGAATTGAACCTGCTGCAACGCATTTGAAGATATCATAATCCGACTTGAATTCCCAATCTATCTCCTCACAGCTTAAAGCTGCCAGCCCCTCTCTTCGCAGCCTCCTTAACCTCCTTACCCTCCACATCAGTAATAACACCCTTCCTCCCGATAATTTGCACACCACCCTTCTTAAGATCCGAAACAAGTTGCTTCTTCTCTCCCCTCTTCTTCTCCTTGCCCTCCGTCTTCTTCTGCACCGGCTTATTAAGACCAGCCTTCTTCGCCCTCTCCTTGGCTCGTCTCCTTCTCGACATCTTCTCTTCCCGCGACATCTCGTCGTGGGCAACGGGCATGCCGCTCTTGGTAACGATCTCGCTCTTGCTCTTGTCCTCGCCCGGCTTGTAGATTTCTTGCGGCGCGAGCATACTTGCGCTGGCGACTTCGCCGCCGGCGGTGGGCCGCGCATCTTCCATCTCGATGGCGGGCGCATCGGTGCGGATTTCTAGGTTGGGTGCTGCGGGCTTGGGCTTGAAGTGCGAGGAGCTGAGGGAGTCGAGTTTGGCGGATATACTCTTCCATAGTGCGGTGATTTCGTCGTGTTCCTTCTTTAGCTTCTCGTCTTTGGCTTCGACGAAGTTGGGGTCGGTCTCGCGTAGATGCTCTTCTTCGTAGATTTCGGCAAGGCCTTTGCCCGATTTTGTGTCGTCGAGCTCGAAGCGGCCTCGTCGGGGGCCGGTGGCGAGGTCGTCGGGTCGGCGGCGGTGGATCTCGTCGAATTCGCCGGCGAGGATGCGCCGCTTGATGAGCGCTTCGATGTCTTCCGAGGTTTCTTGTGTGACTATTGGCACGGGTTTGCCGGCTCGTTCGAACTCGAGGTTCTCTTCGAGAAGCGAGTTTACTGGTCGATCCGCTGCGCGCGCTTCACCGGATAGCTGCCATTCTCGTTTCGCAACGTTGGCTGCTTCCAGTTTTCGGATCTCCTCTGCGATCTTGGCCTGTCTCCGCTCGTGTGTTGATCGTCTCGATTTCGGGTCTGAGGGGTCCACATCGGAGAGGTCGCCCTCGCTTTCCATGTCATCGTCATCTTCGAAGAGGTCTCGATGTACCCTGGCCATGGTTCCTTCCACGTCCTCCTCGACTTCCTCTGCTGGTTGTGACTGCTTCTCGGGGAAGTTGTGGGGGTTGGGTCGTCCGCGCTTCTTGCCGTTCTTGTTTTTGCTCGCCTTTTGTGCGGGAGGCGCGAAGAAGTCCTTGTACATGACGTTGTTGGCGTTCATACCGGTGTCAAGACCGTCCAGGTCACCGTCCTCGAGGTCGTCCTCATCGCCACTGTCGCCTTCCGGTGCATTCAGATCAACGTTGCCGAAGGTTGGTCCGCCCTCGTCAGACTCATCGTCGGATGCATCTCCTGCGATACCGTTGGCTTTGCCTGTGGATGGGCCGTCTTCCATGGGGTCTGCCTCCCAGTTTACTTCGTCATCGTCGCTGTCCACACCCTCTCCCCTCTGGTCCTGCTGCTCAAGGAAGTCGGTTTGCTTGTTGAAGTCGTCTATGGAGAAGAATCCGTCGTTGAGACCGTTGGGGTCGGGTTGGTAGGTTTCTGCAGGCGCATCGTCTGAGGCATCGTCGGAGAAGATGCCGTCTGCTCCGTCTTCCATGTCGATGTCCTCTTCGTCCGGCTCGCCATCAAGCGCGTCTTCATCCTCGTCTTCGTCCACACCATCGTATTCCCAATCCACGCCCTCTTCGCCAATGTCTGATTCGGTGTGGTACTCCTCCTCGGCCTCTTCAATGCCCTCGTCGTCGTCTTCCTCGCCATGACGAATAGGCACAAGGCCACCGTCGTGGTCGGGCAGAGAAAGTTCAATCTCATCCGTTGTCGCTTCGACGATCTTGCGCGTCTGTTCGAAGACCTGGTTAACGCCGAATCCGTCCAAGTGCACCTTCTTCAAGTGCAGCACGCTGATATCGTCATCGTAGCCGCCGCCCCGCTTCCGCTTCTTGCGCAGATCTTGTTGTCGCTGTGATTGTGACGCGCTTACGCCGGCGGCTACTGGATCGAGATATCGTTTCGCAGCGGCCAGGAAAGTCGCATTGAGCTGCGCCGTGGGCTGGAGGAATGCCAGCGGTTTGGTGAGCAGACTTGTAGGCGAAGTCGCCGCGGTTGGTGGGAGTTCCATGAGCGGTGGTTGAATGGAGCCGATGGAGAGAGTGTGGGAAGAGATTGACGTGTCGGGCGAGTGGGAAGGCGGCGCCATGCTCTGGATGTCTTGCAAAGGCTGGCGGGGGGTGAATGCGCAGTTGGTTGCACTGAAGTTCGCGCCTGCCGCTGAACTTTTTTGGTGGAGCTGGTGGTCAAAGCGTGCGTTAGCCCCCTCCGCTCTCTACCATCTTCTCCGACTACATGCACTGCACGTTAACAACCTACATCAATTGGCACGTGAGTTCACCTTCGCGCTACCTTTCACTTCCACCG